GTTTAGTGTGCTGTATACTTCTGCTCCACCCGATCACGATTGCAATGAAATTTTAATCTCGCTGGACACCGAGAAAGCGTTTGACCCGGTGGAGTGGAACTATCTTTTTAAGACCTTGGAGATGTGTAACTTTGGCCCTAAATTTGTTTCATGGGTGAAGCTGATATATACCTTGCCAATGGCAGCAGTACGCACTAACAGTAATCTATCCAGCTATTTTGAATTGGAACGCGGTACGAGGCAGGGGTGCCCACTCTCGCCACTCTTATTCGCAATTGCGATTGAACCACTCGCAGTGGCTTTACTGAACAGCCCAAAGATTGAAGGTATCAATCGGTTTGGCACTGCACATAAAGTTTCCTTATACGCTGATGATACTCTTCTTTATATCTCAGATCCCTTATCTAGTATTCCTGAGTTACTTATTTTACTCCAAAAGTTTGGAAACATATCTGGTTATAAGGTTAACCTTCAAATAAGTGAATTGATGCCTGTGACYCCAATAGAAGAGCAGCATATGGGTCCAGTTCCTTTCAAAATTAGCTCTGCCAAATTTAAATACCTTGGTATTTGGATTACTCACAGTCACAAAGACCTTTATACAGCAAACTTTCTGCCTCTCCTGGTGAACCTTAAGAAGGACATTGCTACATGGGCATCCCCGCCTCTATCCCTGGGGGGTAGAATAAACGTGATCAAAATGACAGTATTGCCCAAATTACTTTATCTATGTCAGAGCGTGCCAGTGTTCCTCACCAGGACTTTCTTTACAAATTTAAATAGTGAATTGTCATCCTTTATTTGGAATAAAAAGCATCCACGGACAGGCAGTAAGATGCTACAGTTACCCCATGGTCTTGGTGGCTTGTCACTCCCCAACTTTTTAAATTACTACTGGGCGGCCAACATTAGAGCCTTACTGTACTGGTTGAGAGAGGACAATCCTGTTCCTACTTGGGTAAATCTAGAGAGGAAATCAGTTACAGCTCTCTCTCTCTCTCTCTCTCTCTGCTTTACTTTGCTCCCGGTTACCGTTTAATCAACCAATCTCAATTTATACTTCTAATCTGGTTGTAACTCACACAATAAAAATCTGGAATCAGTGCAGGAGGTTGTTTAAAAGTACAGAATTATTATTGTCTGCTCCAGTACCAAATGACCATATGTTTGCTCCTTCACACTCTGTTTTCAATACTTAGAGTTTAAAGGGAATAACTTCTTTAAGTGATCTTTACATAGACAATAAGTTCGCCTCATTTGAACAGTTAGCACAGACAGTTGACATCCATAAGTCATAGTTCTTCAGGTATTTACAAGTGAGACATTTTGTAATGTCAAGCTCTGTATGTTTTCCTCTACGCCCCCCAACTTCTCTTATAGATGAGATTCTGATGTGTAAGTCTGTAACAAAACGCTCAATGAGCAGAGTTTATTCTCTGCTCAGCTCATTTTCTGACTCCAATTTTGATTCTTTGAAGGGCAAGTGGGAGATGGACTTGGAGGAATCCATATCAGACACAGTTTGGCAAAAACTTATTCAAAATATATATTCGTCCTCAATATGTGTGAAATATGTTATAGTTCAATTCAAGGTAGAACATCGTCTACACTGTGGTCTAAGGACAGAGTTTGCAAATTCAAAAAGGACTTTGATCCGACGTGTGATCGCTGCGGACAATCTCCTGCCACACTTCTGCACACATTCTGGTCCTGTCCAAAGTTACATGGATACTGGCAAGGCATCTTTGATACCTTTTCAGGACTATTTGGACAAACTGTTCATCCATCACCACTCATTTCTCTCTTTGGGGTGGCTCCAGCAGGGGCTTCCTTCAGTAAACATCAGAGGACGGTGTTAGCTTTTTGCTTTCTACTGGCTAGAAGACTCATTCTTCTTCGTTGGAAGGATCCACATCCTCCAGCTTATGGTCATTGGTTAAGAGAAGTTATGTCTTACATTCATTTAGAGAAGATTAGATATACTGTTAGGGAATCTGTAAACAAATTCTTTGACATCTGGCAGCCATTTTAATCTTACGTAGAAAAAACTTCAGCAGATAACTTTGTCTAATGGTCAAATATTGGTTCTTTGTACACAAACCTGTGTCTTGTATTGTCTGATATATGAATACAAGATGTATTTATGTTTTGTTAGTAGATCCGGTATAGGTGGGGACGGATGGGAAGGTTCTCAGGGGTGTGTGTTTTTG